TGAGTGTTGTAAATGCTTCATGTTAAAACCCTAAAGTATGTGTTGAAAAATTAAGAGAGAGCCCCCAACAACTGTTAGCCATTTATTTATGTTTTATTGCCTCCAAATTACATCAGTTTTATGGCCCTTGGGCACAAATTAATGTTTCTTATAATATTTTGTTCGGAATTCCACAAAGATTATACTATGCCTTTATCAAAATACATTATGGAAGGTTTTTTTTTTCCCTTCTTTTTTTTTTTTTTTTAACCTAGGAATCTTCCAGCTAAGAAAGGAAAAGGCAGCCCCTGACATCCAGGAGCTGGTCTACAGGACTACCAGCTAGATCATGGGGGGATTGGGAGCTAGCCTGATAATCCCAGGTGGATCCTGGTATCTCCTTTGGGACCTGGAGTCTCCAGGACATCCCAGTTTAAATCCTTGCCGCCTTGTGCCTTGCGTATACCTTGACAGACTGTAAGATTTGTGTGGAAATGCCAAGGACCCAGGAGAGACAAAACAATGCTGAAAAGAAAGAACAGGGTTGGAGTAGCTATACTATTTTACCTTGGGGCTTCTAATAAAGCAACGGTAATCAAGACAATGTGGTATTGGCATCAAGATAAGCAAATAAATTAATCGAGTACAGAAATGTCACATCTTTCTCCTTCGGAGTGGATGGTTGGGGTGCTTTAATCACGGCACCATCAGGGTTCTTCCGTAGTACTAATAGCAGGTTTCAGTCATCAGCGCCTTGTGGTATTTCTCATGATTCACATAACTATATTAAGCGGAGGGTGCGATTCCATAGACAAAGCTGCTCTCTGGGCCGCTAGTAATGTTTTCCCATTGTATTAAAAACCCTCATGGAGGCAGGAAGAAACAAAGCCAAAAAAACCTATAAAATAAACCATAGTGAGTTCACTTTTGCTACTGAAAAAACCCTCTATGAGACTGCCACTGCTGTGGTGTCTTTCTGGTGTATGTTTGTGCTATGTAAATGTATGTAAAGACACTGTGGCCTTACCATATGTGGCAGTTACATCATCTCCTGTCAACTTGTGAAGGGGTAAAGTCTAGCCTGTCAAGCAGGTCGCAGCTTGATGACATCATTTGGATAAATAAATAGCTCACTGGAGGCCAGATGCACACAGGCTCTCTGCTTCGTCTTCCGGCTGACAAAACACATGGAGCTATGCTAGAGTCCTTGCGCTGGAGGAGCCACGTGGAGACCCCTGCCAGAGTTAAGGATGCTTCCACCGCCACAGGATCCACAAGACTTTCCATCCACTGGCCTGTGATCTTCCTGCATTAGGCGTCATTGCATGTTTTGCATGAGTCTGAAGAGGAATTTATAGATTGTTATCGGACATAGGGGCTAATATTGGACTTATGGACTTGAGCTGGACTGGGCTGGGATGTTTTTTCAATACACAATTGCCTTTTTATATAAAGTTCTTTCTTATACACATAGGAGTCCATGAATTTGTTTCCCTAGTCCACCCAGACTAACACACCGTATCGACGAAATTGGCTCAAATCTTCAGCGCCCGGTGTCCTCTTAAAACGCTGGCACACGTGTCCCTTCAGAATGATGTACTGTATTAAAAATGTGCCTTCATCATCATGTAAACGCGTGCGATTGGGTAGCATGACGTACATTCACCGTGGTGTACATTTGTCAACAATATCCAGATGCAGAACGTTTTCATCATGCCGAAAGGAAGCCCGTGCCCATGAGCAGTCATCTCCACCCTCCCCTCTTCCTAACCTGTGGCGCCCACCAATCTGCTCTCAGTCCCTACCTGGGACCTTCCCTAGGCTTCCTACCTATGTATCTTTTGGGGTCAAGCAGGGTTGGATGGTTCAGGCAAGTCTAGTCTCTCTGTGGGTTTCCATTTCCCTATCCACAAATTGTCATGATAACATCGTCCCTGTGGGACCCGGAGGAGGATTCGGTGTGTGTCTGCTCTGACTCGATCCTTCTTGATGTCTTTACTCCCACTAGTCCCACCCCTCCTCCCCAGCTAGGATTCTTTGTGGAAGACTTTCATTTGTGGATTTCTTCATGCTTATGGGAGTCTGGCATGCACCCTCTCTATGTGGCTAATGTAAACCGTGAAATGGACATGATGGCCCATCATTCCCTGGAGACAAGCAGAGAAGAGGGAGGGAGATTAAGTATTTCTTGTGATTCAGGTGCAGCCAACATGGAGCGGAGCTGGCTCAGTAGGAAAGACTTTGGAGTGGGTGAGGAGCGTGAAGTCCATGAATTGCCTTACCATTTAACTCCGTAACTGGCCGACACTGGTTGAACTGAACTGTGTGGACTGAGCCAGGACAGGAAGAAATTGTGCTCTTCCACCTTCCGGCGCCTGCTTGCCAGCCCTCATACCCTCCACCCCTCCCAAGCACCAGTCTGGAGCGCCGTCCAGGAGCAGAGGGCATGCACATGGAAGGAGGTGTGTGTCAAGTAAACAAACAGCCGAGCTTAGGTGTGTCTTGGTTGGATTGGCCTCCGATGGGGAACAGTGCCATGACTTTCAACTCCAAATGTTTCCCAAGTCTAGGTCATTCTCCCTGGCTGGCCCTGAAATCGTCCTAGGGGGAAGGCCTCACCCAGATTATAACCTCCACGCACCTGGCTTTGGGCCTCCTTTTTCTGTCCCCAAGGAAGGCGAGCAAGGGCTTCCTTCCACACCTGGCCTAGCTGCTGGCTCACTAAGTAGCAGGCTCTCTCCAGTTCCTCAGCCCTAGGGGACACCAGCTCCTTCTGAGGCCTGACCTGTTTCCTGTTGGCTCCCCAGGCACTCCGTGGGCCTTGAAGACCCCTACCAGCCTGCAGCTTACACCTGCGCAGCCCCTGAGCTCAGGTACTCGAAGACAATATCCGGAAAAAACGTTTCTCTCTGCCTGTTGGGGGATGGGTCTGCCAACAGACAGCAAGTTTTATACACTCTTCACTTCTCGTTCCAGTGTTGGCCAAGGGACCAGGAAATGCACGTTCACTCTTTTGGCGAGTTTCAATGAGGATCAATTTCCAGAGGCCAAACTGGACTGTATGCACCGAAAGGCTTAAAACTTTGGACCCAACAATTCCACTTCTAGAAATTTATCCGAGGGAAATAGATGAGTGTACAAAGCCACCTGTACAAAACGGCCCATCAAAGGACTGAGTAAAATAATCCCTGAAAGGGTACAAACAACTCCCCAAATGCCAACATTGCGGGGTGGGGGTGGGGGATGTGGATAGGCAGGTCAAGTAATCCATCAAGAAAATGGAGTCAAATTAACTGTAAGAAATAATAGTATAGATCTATATTTATTTTCAATGACTCATTTTTAGGCGTTAGGTCACCGGGCCTTTCTTCCAAGACATCTCCAGATGGAACTGAACCTGCAACCTTTCCGTTGGCAGCCAAGGGTGTTAACAAAGTGCACCGCCTAGGGCCACCCCTACTGACAATGTCCCTTCCATTAAGGGCTCCTGCTGTGCTAAGCACTATTCCAAGACCTTCGTGCATCTTAAGGCATTGAATCTCCACGATTTCCGGGAGCATCCAAGGGTCATTTTCCTGTTTTACAGAGAGAGGCTCAGAGAGGTCCGGTGGCTTGCTCAAGGCACAGACAAGGGGACTCAAAAAAGTTTGTGGGGAAATGGAATAAAAAGATAGTGGGATTTTCCATGCACCTTCTGAAGCCCCCATGTACTAGCCGGTGGCCGAGAGCAGGATGGGGCTCTGAAGTCAGCAGTCAAGTTCGTTTCACAAACAAAAGAAAGAGAATGCATGCGTGTGTTGAAGAAATCTAGAACTGAAATGTAAATATTCATTGAGGCATTATTATAAAGTATTTTTATTTCGGTGTATTATAAAACTTTATAAATTCACTGCTTAAAAAAAAGAGAGAACTATTTCCACGTGATAAATCTGCTATCAAATACCAGAGCATTAGTTAAGTAGCTTTGCTAAACAGTCTAAATGCATTTCAGAATTCTTCGCTGTGTGCTGAAGACCCTGAAGAAAAGACAAAGGGCTGGGTTCTGGACCACCTCTGCTCCCGTGGACTGCTCCCCGATCTGGCTTGAATGGACAATGACGTGCCAAATTCGTCTTCTGTTCTTCTCTTGCTTGTTTTACTACGAACTAAAGGAGGGCGCGTTTGCAGAAAAGTTTTCATCTCTGCTCTGTGTCATTAAAACAGACATGTGAAAGCCATTACGTTGCATTTAGAAACTGCTTCCAGACCAGCTTACCAGGCATCCCAGGGGCTCCCAGGAACCCCTGCCACTCAGAGTCCCCTGGTCCCAAGACCTGCCTTTTCCTAACTGCTCTTCCTTGGAGATGTCCACAGGACTAGGTTTCTGTGTGGTCAGGGACTGTCCCTTCGAGGGTAACCCACAGTGAACCGTCCTGTAAAACCGGGGTAAAGATCAGCACCAAGAGCTACTGGGGTGCCCAGCACCACGCGGTGGCGTTCTGTGACTGATTACACTGCTAATCACGACGGCCCTTCAGGTAGGTCTGATTGAGCCCACGGTTTTCGGAGACTGAAACGAATATTCAGAGAATTTGAGTACTTGCCCAAGGTTCCACAGCCAGAAATTAAATACAAATTTGGCTCTAGAGATTGCATTTTCCCTCATTATCCAATCCTGATGCGCAGTGATTTGTCCAGCTTAAATCTTTGCTGTTTATTGATTGAGGGGGGAGGGCGGGAGGGAACTGGGGATCACGGAAAAGGATCGGAAAGTGTGGACACAAAAGAAGGAGGCTGCTAAAAGGAAAATGAAGCTTTGCATTTTGAAAGCATGCGAGGATTTCACTCTCTCCAGACGGTGGGTTAACAAGGTGTAGTTCAAGGTTTCTTTCTCTGTCACGGTTGACAATTACACCGTCCGTGGATGATGGTACTGGCTGAAAGACCTGTGTGGCTTGACTTTGACTCACATTCCAGAACTGACCCCGCTGCCCTTTCTTTCTCCCTTTCACATGGTTGTGGATGAGACACGGGGACATCCGTAGAACAAAATAGACAGCATTTATTAAATATGTGTGATCTGGGTTATATTCCCAAGGCAGGGCATGCATGAAGGGATTTCTCATTCACGTAACAAAAATATCAACGGATGCTGAAAACATTCCACAATTGAGATGTCCACACCCTACAAAATTCTCTGTAAATGGAAGTGAGGAAGGGAAGAAAAAAAATCACAGGTTGTGCAAGTACAGTGATTTCAGCTGGCCCTCCAAAAGGCATAAGGCACAAATCAAGACGAGGGGATCAGCACGTCAGAATGACGCTTGGAGATGTCAGGCCCAGCAAGGGCCGCCTCTAATAATGGCTCCTGCAAACACTGCCTCAGACCCAGAGGACAGAGCACCTGCATGCTGGGAACACTTCCTATCCAGGCGCTCCCGTCTATACTCCCTGTGGGCCAACCACTCTGGGCTCCAGCAACATGGCCTCTAATACTAGTCTGGGTAAAGAACGCCTTCACCCTGTAACATGTGATCCTGACAAGAATTCCCCATCAAGGCCCTTGCCCTCCCAACCAAAGTCTAGTGAAACAGACAATGGATGGTGAGGGGGTTCTGACTGGATTTCAGGGTCTACACAGGAAACAAAGGAGGATAGAGGATATGTTGGTTGGGCTTTTGAAATACCACCTCATCAACCCCCCGCCCCTCTCTCTCCTTCATGCCTTGGATGTGGCCCAGAATCTCAGCAAGGTCCATTCTGGCTTAAACCGTGTTGTGTGAGAAAGCAAATGTCCTCCATCATTGCAGACGTCAGCACTCAGCGTGAGGATCTCCGTCCCTCTGTAGAAGAGGGTCCGCAGCCTGGGGTCTAGGGCCCAGTCTTCTTCACGGTCAGCTCCAGGACCCGCGTGTATGGCGTGTAGCTCCGGGAGGGCATGGCGATTTCACGGGTTCTGCCGGGCTGGCTGCGAAATGAGATAAGGCAGGTCAGGAGGCTGAGACGACACTCTCCCCACTCTCCGTGTGTTAAGACAACCTTAGGAAATGGGCTGTCAGCACACAGACATGTTTAAAAGACAACGGTAACACGGTTCACTAAAGGAACCACTGAGACACCGGTGGCTCTACCTTCCATTCTGGAGCCGGGGCTCCATCCCTGGCCAATGCACAACCACTACCCGGTGTTTGGTGAAGGCTTGCTCGTGGTTCTGATGTGGAACGGACTGACGATTCACTGATGAGGGGAGCTGACTGAGTAGGAAGAAAGGTCTGGTCATCTAGTTCCAAAAACCAGCCCACGAAATCCCTATGGATCACAGCCGTCTGGTCCACGGTCAACCATGCTGGGTCAGCATTTTGTTCTGCTGTGCCAGGAGCCAACTCAACAAGAGTTCACAACACCACCAACAGCAGCAATAAGTTATCAACTTTTAAAGATGGTGTTTGGCATCGGTGTCTCAGAAAAGTACAAAACTACACCCGAGACTCATCGTTTGGGGGAGAGAGTTCAGAGAGGTATACTAGTAATGTGATGTGTTCGGTACCATCTCTGTTTGCCCACTCAGGCTCACTCTGCCCCTCACCCAGCTCTGGGCCCAGGGAAGCTAACCTGGAAGGACTGCATCAGGGGCTCCTTTGCCTCTGGGCTCCTGGTTGGCTTTGACTAGTTGGGAGAGGTCAGTGGGAGAGCTGAGCGGGAGGACAGAGAGCTCAAGACCGGCATCCCTCCCTGCTCCGCTGCAACTTGGTTGTGTTTGCTGTCGATTTTCAACTCATAGTGACCCCCATGTGACAGAGTAGAACTGACTCACGGAGTTCTCTAGGCTTCAGTCTGGATGGGAGCAGATCACCCAACCTCTATCCTGCAGAGCCACTGGGCGAGTTTGAACCTGTGGCCTTTTGGTTAGCATGTAACCACTGTGCCAAGTTGGCATCATTTCTCTACCAAAGGTCACAGCTCCTGTGGGCAATCTGTCCTTAGAGCAACCACTCTCCCTGGCTCTTCTCTCCCTTTTGCTACCCTGTCCTTCTGCCCCTCGGCTCCAGGCTCTCACAGCTAGAATGTGCACCTTTGTAAACAGTCCCTTCATTGAACTCTTCAATCTTCCCTTGCTGCCAGGGCCCGAGCAATCTGAGAATGAACGTGCTGGGGCACACGGAGGACAGAACAAGTCCACATCCGAACAAGCAGGAGATCAGCACATGTGTAAAGGGAGGTGGATCTTTTGTCAATTGAGTGAGGAGGAGATGGGAATTCCAGGCAGACGGGACAGTCAGTGCAAAAGCCCATGGGTGCGAACTGAATTTAGTGGGTCTGGAGCAAAGAATTCACAGTGGCAAGGGATTGGTGATGGAGGGGAGCAAGACAAGTGAGGCCCTGTGTGCCTTGCGAAGGGGCTCAGAAGGTGGTAGTGGTGGTTGACTGCCATCAAAGAGATTCGGACGCACAGCATCTCTATGTGACAGAGTCAAGCTGCCCTCTTGGGTTTTCTGACAGTGACAAAGAGGAAGGCCCTCCACACGATGCCCTCCACACCGTGGCTGCAGCAACAGCTCGAACATAAGAACAGGAGTGAGGGTGGGGCAGGACCGGGGAGCGGGGATCTTGTTCCGCTCTGCAGAGGGCACGATGAGTTGGAACCCACAGCCGCCCCTGGGGGTCCTTGGCTGCCATCTTTCCCGAAACAGATGGTCCTTCTCCGACAGCCGCTGGGTGAGTTCAAACCCTCACACCAGCCGCTCTGTTAGCAGCCGAGCTTTCACCGTGTCACCACCAGGGGCTCCCTTGAGAAGGTTTTGCAGGGAGGGGCATGATCGATTCTAGCAAGATTCCTAGGGCAGTAATGAGAGTTGATGGCAGAGAGGTTCGTCTGGAGGTGGGAAGGTGAGAAAGGCCTTCAGCGTCAGAGTTGAGAGTCCGAGGGAACTTGAATGTCAGCAGCTGCACTGAAGGTGAAGTCGCAGGGACAAGTTAGGGAGGTATTTCAGAAGTCGAATGAACAGAATTGGATTGCCAAAGCAGAGACATAAGCTCCCTTTCTTATTCCTCCCAGATATACACGTATAACTAGACGATATGCCCCAGCTTCCCTCTCGATATGCTGGTATGTGACTAAATGGGCAAAAACGATTCACATGATTTTGTGTTTAGCCTGTAAAAAGCCTTTCTCAAAATATGCCAAGCTCTGTCTCATCCCTGGAGCACAGAGGATATAGTAGAGGAAATGATCAGACCCCAAAGCCAAGCAGAGTCAGCCACTCGTGGGAAGAACCCTGGGTTCCTGAAGGACTGGGTGGAGCAACGTCCAGGCCAACCTACTTCGAACTGCGATGTGAGAGCAAGCAGTCTTTACCGGGCTAAGCCACGGAGACTTGTGGGTGGCTTCTTACACGGTGTACTCTCACTAGTGCAATGACCAATTGGGTATGTGAGACATAAGAGTGAACGCCCTTCCTTCTAACTCCCAGGTCAATCATTCACAAAGCAGTATGAAGTCTGTCCCCTTGACGCCTGTTTTGCGATCTCTTCTCTACTCCCTCAGTCCCCGTCCAGAGTCACGCTCTCATAATCCAGCTTTGAATTTTGGAGTAGTGTCCCAAGTGATCTCGCCACTGGCAAGTCTCCCTTCTCCCCGAATCCTATCCATTTTGCTTTAAAGATGTTTTCCTACAAAAGACAATCAGTGCGTCTTACTGTTCTGAGAAGCCTTGCAAGTCACCCTATTGCTTCCCAGATGAGTTCAAACTCCTCAGCTTGGCCCAAGAGCCGGCCATGATCTCCTGTGGTATCTCTTCTCTGGCTTTGCTAAGTACCATGCCAAAAAACAAACAAACAAACTCACTGGCTTCGAGTTGACTCTGCCTCATAACGACCCTACAGGACGGGGTCTGTGGGTTCGAAGACTGTATGTAATTCCTTACAGGAGTAGAAAGCCTCCTCTGTCTCCAAGTAGCACACAGTGCCCACAATTTAGCACCGCTCCACACCTGTGGCCCTTCTCATGCTGCCCCCTCTGCCTTGCCTGTAACCATGATCAAAGGCGCCTGGTGAACACCTGACTAAATGTCAAGACTCAAAGCAAACACGCCCATATCCCTCTATCCCACCTCTTCCTCCATCTGCACGCCCATTCTCCCTCCCCCCAGGAACTGATGCAGCCAGTCCTGCTATAAGGACTGTTGTTAGGTACCAGCTTCCTTGCCCAGTGGTGCTCGATGCTGAATGGACTCACCTGCACTCACCTTCTCATACCACCTCCCCTTGCCCGGTTGTGACGGCATCAAAAGTGTGATGAGGGACAGCTTCTTAAATGGGTAAGGGGGAGGGGGGGACGGCGGTTACGTTAGAAATAGGAAGAGAATTCTAAACTTCACAAGTCTCCTTCCAAGAGATTCAACGTATCTTCCTCTCTGGCTCCCCCCACCCTACTCTCCACTGTAATGATGTTCTGTGAATGGTTGTCACGCAGGCTTCTAACATAAGGTGACCAGATTTTAACATTGGTAAAGCGGGACACCATTGATAAAATTCATATCCTGGCGAAAGAGCCACATGGGAGCCGAAAACCATATACCCTAGCTTGTCATGCATTCTTTCCAAAAATTGGGACTTTTTAAAAATGCTGCGGGACACGGGACAAATTGTTAGAAATCAGGACTGTCCTGCCAAAAGCGGGACATCTGGTCACCTTCTTTTAACATATCACTGGAAACAACTTCCTGCACGCATGCTCTGCTCATCTGTCTTCTCTACAAGGTGTAATTTCTGTAAGGCTCCGATCCTTCATCACTCATTGTCATGATCCCATTGGCTCGCAGGCCACGCACAGAGCTATCACTCACAAATGAATGGCACAGGACACCAGGGGCTGAGGGAGTTTCCAGAAGGAGTGAGTTGTCACAGTGTTATCTGTCACATGGAAAAATCGATACGATCCCCATCAATCGGGGTCCTTGGTGACCTGAGCAGGCAGTTTCGTGCATTGCCAGGGGCAGGAGCCAGGAGGCAATTTGTGTCACCCTTCCGGAAATTTCCGAAGAATAGAAGTGGCTTCCATCGATATTCTAAAAGCCCATCAAGTACAAGATATACTTATAAAGGAAGACCTCTGGGCTTCGACATTAGGCTCTCCTATCCTTTAAGAAAAGGATGTGAGATACATTATTTAGGGAATCACTAGAGAAACAACAGGATTTTGACAACACAGATAATTTCAACTGAAATTCAACCATTTCCTTTATTCCATTCAGGTTACTGTTTACATTTTTGAATTGTAATCTGTAAAGAGGCAGTTCCCGGGGGAGAAACTATTGTAGACTCAGCAGCTACAGCTTTGACAGAAAGCAACTTTGCGCCCTGGCTTCTGAACCGAAATAGATGCAGACACAAGCGTTTTTTAAAGTACTTGCTGTATACCAGAGGAACCCTAGTGGTGCAGTGCGTTATGTGTTGGGCTGTTAATTTAGCAGTTCAAAACCAGCAGCTGCTCTGCAGGGCACAGATGAGGTGTTCTACTCCTGCAAAGAGTTACAGTCTAGGAAACGCACAGAGGCAGTTCTCCTATGTCCTTTAGGATAGCTAGGAGTCAGAATGGACTCAATTAACAGTGAGTTTGGCTGGGATTTACCTATGACCATGAAGAACTCACACACACTGAATTCCAACTCATAACGACCCTACAAGACAGAGTATGTGGTAGTTACATAATCTGGTGTTAACTTGAGACTATTAAGAGTGGAGGGGTGGCGTTTAGCCTGTCAATCAGGTAGCAACTTGATGACCTCATTTGGAGGCCCTAGGGAGATAAATAGCTCATTGGAGGCCAGACCCACACTCACGCTCTGCTTCCTCTTCCTGCTGACAAGCCACAAGTAGCTAAGTTGATGGAGTCAGAGCCCTGGAGCCGGAGGAGCCATGTGGAGACCCACGCCAGCACTGAGATGCTTCCACTACCACTGGATCCAT